CTTTCTAATCATCACTACAATCATTGACAAATAGTATTATTTTTTTATCATTAATATTATTATTATTAATGTTATTCTTATAATCAGACATAGCAGTATCATAGCATGTGTATACACGATACACCAATATCTACACAAATTTTCTGGCTCAAGTAGATAGTGGTAGATAAAGGAGAGCAGCCTAGAATATTCACCTATATTTTCAGATATTTCATGCATTGTATCTATACTAAGATAACCATCTGAAGAACTTGAAATACTGTTTCCTAATGCTTATTCTTGTGATTTTAGTCAGGTAGCCATTGTGCATTTTTTCTTTTCAACAGAACACATTCTTTTGTGTGAAGTTTCAGTGTCCACATGGCTTTATCATGAGTAAAGAACTGCAAAGGAAAACTTTCATGCGATGCTTTTTGCAATAAGTCACATACTTTTAGTAGACAAAAATACACAAAAATACACATGTACTTACAAAGTAAATAGAAGTAAATGCCGGTTAAAAATTAAAATACAAATAGATAGATTAGATAAAATTTGAGTAGATGTGCTGTCTGCTTGTAATTTCAAACATTTTTTTTTTCCACAACACTGTTTTTTGTACCAGGTCCTCCATACTTTTTCATATCCCTACAGCTTTCACAGTCTTTGCAGTCTTGTCGTGTGCATGCTATACATTTACCACACCTTTTACGAACTCCTGCAAGACATGGATAATTATAGTTTACAATCATGCTAACTTTTTCTTGACTTCACTTCCATGTCACATTTTGAGTTAACCTAGCTCTATTTCAATAATACAAGTGATTATTATGCACAAGACAAGACTGCAAAGAGTGTGAAAGCTGTAGGGTTATGAAAAAGTATGGAGGACCTGGTATAAAATGACAATGTTGTGGAAAAAGAAAATGTTTGCAATTACAAGAACAACATTAATAATAATATTAACATTAATAATAATGATAAAAAATAATAATATTACTGTTTGTCAATGATTGTAGTGATGATTAGAAAATTTAGATCCATTTCAGTGGATTAGTTTTAAAACTGGCTACTTTTTGCAATAAAAACAGCTGTACCTGAAGGTGTGGCTGGAAACACATGTAATCACGTGGGGCGGGTGTGGCGGTACGGTACGTATGTGTGTCATAATGCATCATCAAAATAATGTCATAACCACATCAACCGTTGTGAACTTAGCCTCTCCCGGTATGGTATAGGTTGTTTTCCTGTTTATTGTTGCGTCACTTTCTACAGCAGAAACTGCAGTTAAGTGTAGAGTCACAGCTGGCATTATCGTTCATTATCATTGCCTACCTTAAATTACCAGGCATTACTTTACTAGCTTTGTCTTATCTGCTCATTATTTTGCTATGTTTAGCAGGAAACCAATGTTAAAAAGTAGTCTAGATTGTGAGAAATATTTTGTAATTCGTCTAGAAAGCAGCTAAGTTTTCAGAAACATTATTACAAGTAACCTACAGTGAACAGTTTATTTACAAATCTTTCCTGCTTCATTTCCTTTCATCTTGCTCTCCTATTTCTGTCCAATTTTTTTATTGTCTTCAACAAAGAGAAGAGTATAAGGCATGTTTTGTTTCCTGCAAAGCTGTAGCAACCAAAGTACAGCAATTATTTAGCAATCTTACACATCTACAGTACAATGTACATTTAAATTAAGTTACTCTTATTGTCTTGCACAAAATATTCATTCATTTTTGGAAAGTGTTTGTTTATTGCGCTTCATATGACAACTCACAGCTTAAACTTATTATTAAAATTACTCCAGAGGATACAAAAAGCTACTATGTAACATTTACAAATAATTGTTGATTAGCGGAGCACTCACAGGTTGATTTTTTTTATTATAATGATCTGTTTAAAAATCCACCGTAAGGTACCTTTTGTCCATTATGGTCACATTTAGTTATGTTTATTTATTCATAGAATGTGACATGCATCTTTGCAAAATTTGAGTTTTGCCTTGTGAGTATTATTACAAGCATCACTCCACCTTTTTCATTGTGTCTAGCTTTAAGTAGATTTACGTGTATCAAACTCACTTTAATATACATGTGTGTATAGTCAGTTTCAGTTGAGAAGAAACGGAAATTACTATTTTTGTCATTAAACGTCAAGTGTAGCTCCACCCAATCATGACTGCAATCTGCATGCTCTGTCATTCTTCAAGCGTTTCTTCTCCTTTATCTTACTTTACTATTTATTGTACTTCCACTGTTGTTGCTTCTACCTCCATCTATCCTTTCCTTGTTTTTGGTGCCTGTTTTAGCTGGTATAGAGCTCGTAATATGGGTGAATCAACGAGTGTACTGGCAATGAGAACAAGTAAGATTGAGAAGGCTGTGGAGTGATATAGCAAGAATTATCCTCAAGAGAAAGCTCCTAGTTGAATATTTGTATATCTTGACAGCTTCATATGTTTTGTTTTATTTTCAAAATAAAAAAACATTATTATGTAATGGCATGCAAATAATATTTATAGGAGTGACGCTCACAATTCGTCATGGCATCACTTTTCATCTTAAGCGGAAGAACTCATTTAGAACCTTCGAGAGTACCTAGGAACTCAAATTGGTAACGATTTTTATAACCTGTTATGTAGCTATACCAAATTTCAATTTGCTAGCGTTAGTGACAAAAAATTTATAAGGGATGGTGGTGGTTGCTTCTCAACTGCAACCGACTATACCTTAAAAGGTCCATAAAAACTTTTCGGAGAGTATTACTTCTATGAAGTTAACTAGCTTTACAATGTTTTGTTTTTAATTTACTGTATTATTTCATAATAAATTCGTTATAATTTTAATTTTTAATAACCATAGTAATACTAATAAACAATAGTTATGCTATAATTAATCTAGTGAAAGTAAATAGTTACATTTGGAACAAACAAAATGTAATAGACAGAGTTGTTAGGAATTAGTAAATCACCAGCTTCAAAACTTATGTCTCCACTGTGAGCTTGTCCCCAATATGCAAAGGTTTGTATATCCTTGGACAGAATTTATTTCACAGGTCAATTTCTTTGTTTTGAAGTACATGTGATTACAAAACTTATGCTTCTGGAAGCACCTTTTGGTAAGGAATGAAGTCATGTCCGTCAGTCTCAAAGAAACATGCATCACTTGTTGCTTTTATATTTACAATCAATGTCAATAAAATAGCTGCAACCATGTCAGTGTATCGCCATCTTCAAAACTGACCTCTCCACTATGACCTAGTCCACAATATGCGGTTTGTTGATCCTCCAGAAACTTTCATTGTCTTTCCAAGCAGGCTTTACGAGATATTTTTGTTGATTTTATTTTCGTTTGCTTACATATCTTATTCACTATCACACCCATTCAATTATTGCACCTGTGAGGGGCGTGACAAAATTATGTCACGTGTATCATAGATATTAAACATTAGTGTAGTGTGTGTAGTTCAAGACGGAAGGATTTGTTATGCAGTCTACGGTTCATGGTGACTACATTTATAAAGATATTTGGAACCCATCACTTGGAGAAGAACTGCCTTGTTGCGTTGAGCCAGGTAATGATACAGATCAATATGCCATGGCTGTAGTGAAA